TCCTTTGCTCGATTGAATGTCATTTTAAGCTCATCTGAGCGCGTTATGAATCTTTCATCCCAGTGTTTGCCAACTGGCTCACCACCACACGCACTTAGCACTTTATCTGTCGTATTTGATACCTCACACAGCCGGGGCGCGAATCCTGGCAAATCGAGGTCGAGGATATATCGGACAATTGTCTGCTCTTCAGTCGCTGTAAGTTTATTGCAATTTGGTCGAGTTTGAGATCAAGACGTGATTCCATGGAGCCGATCAAAGAGCCTCTGGTGTTTGACGTTAAAGTCTATAGCAGCGCGCCGTAGGCTCTTAAATTGGCCAGAGGTATAGGCCTGAAGAGCAAGATCACCCTGCCTTTTTCTTGAACAGCTATCGCGTCGCGTTGTTAAGATATTACATGTTAATAAGGATAAGAGCTTCGTCAAGGAAAAGTGGCCCGCTCGCTGGTGGAATACGATGAACACTTAAAGCACCCATATTAACCCGTTTACGTATTAACAAGCAGCCGAACGCTTGAATGTGCCGTCTCGTAGGAAAAGTGTATCAACACCTAGCTGGTACAAGAGACAGAGCAGTGACCCAAGTACGAAGTACACAACTAAAGGGCGGAGTCATAGATGCCCCTACATTAGCTCCGGGGCGACGAGTTGTTTGTGTACACCTTATTCGTGTGTCTCGAAAAGCAATATGTCCTCCTCACATCTTCATCCCTCAGGTTTACGGTCGATTTTCTGCCAGAACGTATTGTAAAAGAAGTCCCTAGTCATCTCTATTACACGCACCTGCAAGAGACGCCAGGAGCTGCATGAGATAGTGCTACTAAATCGAGATCTGCTGTATCCTGTATATTCGTGGTTGTGCAATGCCAAGAGTTAGATGAAAACTCCGCTTCTGAGGCGGCATCGTTCAGACTACTGCATATGTCGAGTCGAAGCACTGATACCGTACACTGACTGTTTATCGAGCCCAGAACGACATGACATATACTGCTGAACGGTGAAAAGCGTGTAGTTCGCTTACGTGAAGGTGCAAAAAGTTGTCAACGCCAGAGCTCCAAGCCCGAAGGCCCCCTAGGTACTGTCTGCTGTCCCTCAGCAGAAGTAAATAGGCTCAGCTATCCTCCACAGTCTCAGAGAGACTGGCAGGCGTTTACAGCCGGCACCGACGTGAAGGGGGGAGTTCAACTTTGCCAGCCAAAAGCGTGGTCAATCCACCGACCAGCTCCTCGCCCATTCCAACAGCTCCTGATTTATTGGCAGAGTGTCAATGCGTTAAAGCAACAGCATGATAGCACAAAGGCGGTTCGTTTGAGCCATCACGAGTTGTTGCGATGTCTTGCAGTGTTGGACAAGTCTATAAGAGTGGACAAGGCGCAGTGTTGGCAAACCTTCCTTGAGACAAAGAGTGGGGGCACCTTGGTAAAATGATTTTCATGCCAATCATTAAGGCACAACAGTAATGTGAATGGTGAAAGCTGCAGTTGGTTCTCGATTTTGAGTCACGTTGGAGGTGGTGCTTGTTAGAAATCCTTTGGCAGGGTGTGGGATTCTGCGTAAGTACAGTACTAGCTCGAAAGTTTGCATCCCCCACCAAAATCAACATGTACACCCATACACTTAATCACACTTTTAAAAATCACTAAAAATCGTAAACCATGAGTTTTTGGTACATATCACTCCAAGTTTAATACTCTTTCGTTCTATAAAAGGGCTTTCTATTGAGTACTTTGTGTGCCAGCCCTTTGCCTTGATTACCGCAGCTACCCGGTACGGCATACTATCCGCTACCTGCTGATATAGACTACTATGAAGGGCCTCCCAAGCCTCCTTAAGGCGTCCTGTAGAGCCATTTAGCGTCCTCCCCTCTGCCCATATTCTGTAGTTCTGGGTGCGTTTGTAGAACAAGCTTCATCAGGTGATGCCAGATGTGCTGAATCGAGTTCAGATCAGGTGAACACAGGTCCAGTCGACCAGAAAATTGGCCTTATCCGTGAACCACTGTCGAGCCGCTTGGGCAGTATGAATTAGGGCGTTATCGTGCATGAATTGTAGGACAGGTTCCCAGCAATCAGGGATGTTGTCGCCGAGTATTTGGAGGTAGGACCGAGTAGAGTGGCCATTCTTCTTTGACTCCCAATCTCTCTCAAGAAGATACAATTCCGACCGACGTATTTGCACCTCGATGAACCAGAAACATGCCCAAACCACGACTGAAATATCCCTTCCTTTTGAGTAGGTTTGGGCCATGTCCCGGTCCCATTTTTGCGTAGGTGTACGAAAGTCCCATCCACCACTTTTACCCTTTTCCCTCCCGGCAGAACACTCATCTGACCAAATGTAAGTCCTCCACTCTGCTAAGCTCCAAAGCTCCCGAGCTTTACATCAAGCAAGCTTCTACGCGCTACCTCTTCTGTAAGCTCTGGTCGGCGCTTAGCTCTCCAGTTACTGATTCCAGAGGGACCTAATATGCGCTTAAGGGTAGTAGTGCTGAAATTCGTTCCTAACTCCTTCCGAGCCTCCGCATATGTGTATTTTGGGTGTAACTGGACGCATCTTACAAGACGATGTGCATCTCGTTCTGTCCGAGGCTTCGGCCGTCGGGGACGTGATAAAGACTCTCCGTTCAGGCGTACGGACGCGCGGCTCAAAGTGGTTTTGACAGTCGATTTTGTCGTTTTGAGAGCCTTCGCGGTCTCGGCCGAATTTCCCCCTAACTTTATTGTTGTATTTAGAGGGTCTTGGTGTGCGATCGGAAGAATCGCGAATTTTGGTGTCTGGGTTTCAGACTTATGCACGATGACTGTATCTCAGACTCGTCATATCTCGGAGTCCCTCTTCCGTCTGCAAACAAAAGTTCGACGACATTGCGCTCATTCAGATATTTCAGAATAGGTCCTGGATTTAGTGCAGCTTCTTCAGAATGGCAAGCCACACGTTTGACGCATTTATCGGCCATGAGTCCTCGTCAGGTTCTCAGGCCCCTCCTGATCAATCCTCATATCCCGCGCCGCCTAAGAGAGCCTTCTCAAGAACATACCATTCTGTTCCGCTACCTAAAAATCCGGAAGCGCTAGAACTTGATAGCTTGGAATGGGGAGCCAATCGTTCCGGGCCAGCAACCCCGTCAGGAGCTGCTACTCCAGCACCCTTACTAAATGATCTTGAGATGAGTAGACCAGCTAGCCCAACAATTAACGAGCATAATGGCGTTGAAGCCCTGCAGAGCTTCTCGCACCCACCGGAGAATAGATACAGGATGGTTTCAATCTGTATGATGAACTTCCTGAGTGGACTGAGTGACTCAGCACCTGGTGCTCTGATTCCGTACATAGAGAAGTGAGAGCTCCGAACTACTCAAACTGACATGGACTGATATAATTAGTTACTACGGTATCGGATACGCATTCGTCTCTCTAATATTTGTTACTACGGCTCTCGGTTTCATCACTGCAGCACTCTTCGTGGAGGCATTGCGGGTATATCTTGGAAGAGCAAAGAGTCTGATACTTGCAAATTTCTTCATTGCTTGTGCTTATACAGTCATCGTCTGTACACCACCCTGGCCGGTAGTTGTCGCTTCATTCTTTTTGATGGGTTTTGGTATGGCTGTTAACCTGGCACTTGGCAATGTTTTCTCTGCAAACTTGAGCAATGCTACCACAATGCTGGGCTTCATGCATGGATCTTATGGAGCTGGAGGTACGATCGGACCGTTAATCTCGACAGCCATTGCTTCTTCAGGTTAGTCTTTCACATTTCGTGATCAGAGTATATCCTGAACAGAACCACTAGGCGCGCTCTGGAGTCGGTACTACCTACTCACCTTGGCATTGACTTTGTTCAACCTAGCTTTTGGAGGTTGGTCATTCTGGAACTACGAAGCTGAACAATCGACATTATTTGCCATATCCCTCGACCGGGTTGCGTCCTCCGCCAAACCCATCGCCCAGCTGAAGAACATGTTGAAAGCTCTCAGAACAAAAACTGTGATCATAGGTGCTCTTTTCATATTTGCCTACCAAGGCTCTGAAGTATCGATTTCAGGATGGGTCATCTCCTTCCTCATCTCAGCACGAAACGGAGATCCAAAATCGATCGGATACGTCACATCCGGATTCTGGAGTGGTGTCACCATTGGCCGCTTCTTTCTCTCTCCAGTGGCACATAAGGTTGGCGAGAAACCGTTCGTTTACGCTATGATCATCGGCGCTGCCGTCTTTGAGCTTCTTGTTTGGCAAGTTCCCAACGTGATTGGAGATGCAGTGGCACTTTGTATTGTAGGACTGCTGCTGGGACCTATCTATCCGTGTGCGGTGGTGATCTTCCTGAAGGCGATCAGAAAGAAGGATCAGGTTAGTAGCTTGAGTGCTATCAGTGCATTCGGAAGCTCTGGCGGTGCGGTGGCTCCGTTCACGACTGGTATCTTGGCACAGGCTTTTGGTGCATTTGTATTGCATCCTATTGCGATTGGACTCTTTGCGGTCATGGTGGTCTGCTGGTTTGGCTTGCCAAGTGGACAAAAGAGGACAGAGTAAGAGTGTCAGAAGTTTTGGGATGAAGCAACATGAGGGTATGGTTATGAGGTCTGGAGTAACGTCTGATGAAATGTTAGACTTGGAAAACAGGGCGTTTATATAGGTTATTTATAGTGAAAGATTGCAACAAGCAAGGGATTTGGCATTAGGCTTGCTTATTTGTTGCTAAAAAAAAAGGCATCAATATTATCTATACCAGGGTTATTATGTGCGAGCCTGACATGGTTTTCTATACTAATCTGAAAGAATACATGCTACATCCAGATTCTTTCGTATTCACCAAGGGCCGCATGTCTAAGAAACCGCCAAGGAGAACTGGGTATTGCCCCACGCAAACAAAAGAAGACTTTGTACAACAGTTTAGGCAAAAAAAGAACACTTGGACGACTGTAAAAGGCAAACATCCTTGATTCAATACTATTTATCTATCAAGTGTCAGAAATGACAAAAAGATTTCTGAATCGTTTTCCGCACCAGGGAGTCGAACCCTGCGCTACCGCGAACTTGAGACGAGCTCTGAGAGGCGGAAATGTTACCGATACACCAGTGCGGAATTGGATCTTTGTTATATGGAACTGTTATAGTATCTCAATTGCTTACAATATTATATACTAAACTAAAGACATGCATGGTCGGGAATCCACCGAGCCAGCACTCATCTTCTCCATACTTTATACGTAATACGTCCAACTTGCCTCTTAAATTTAGGCTACCGTTAATTCTGTTCAGGCGCTATAAAAAGCCCCAATCTATTTCGTTACGTAGATAGGCACTTTATTGCAGTAATGGGGTTTGGTATGTTTTTCTTTGCCCCTGTCTTCAGCGAGATCTGGTCGGGCCTGAGAAGTCGAAAGAACCACACTGGGTGCCAAGTCTCAGTGCGCAGGAGGATCAAAACATTAGAACGCGAATTCGAATTGTATTTATCGAGTTGCCGTCGATGTAGAAGTATAGCGCTTGCACAGGATTAAGAAGAGCCACCAGAGAGAGCAGGTATGATTGATCGCATGATTCGCGATATGTGGTGTGCCGTTATATGCTGAAGAATGGATAAGGCCTGGAAGGTATTGTGAACTGCTGTAGACAGGACAATTGTATTTATCTTAGAAAACCACCACACAGAAGACATGAATCTCCTACCCTCAAGCTCTGTAATCTTCTTACAACGCCCGGGCATCTCTTTGATCCTTTTCCGGATCTGTTCCACCACGTAACCGCTGTTTAATTATCATCCAAATAGCCTCAATTGGATTGACATCAGGCGATTGAGCTAGATAAATAAATATTAAAACATCTGAAGGCGAAAGCAAGGCTTATTCGTCGATTAATTACAATGTAAAACATCCTCATCCTCGTGAGAATGATCCTTCTGGTTTGACCGCTCTATCAAGCCCGCGATTTCTTCGAAATGTTTGGGGAGAACCGCTCTGGCATAAACCTCTTGTGACATTGCATTGTCCTTAGGCAAGACTTCCACCTCTGGTTGTTCAGGTTCCCAAGCCTCTACCCGTGCAAGAAACCCAGTCTCACTTTCGTGGTCTGTAAGGTTTGGAGACTCTCTCTCATGGTTCCTTTGGGTCTTTATAGAAGATTAATGCCCCTTCGTGGTTGTATGAGATTCCACCTGCAACGTGTACCCTATCCCGCAAACCAGTCGTTTTCTCTTCCTGTGTCGACTCTAATCGCTTCCTTTGACCTGGAAACCGGAGCTCGTAATCAGGCTCGTTCTGCAATGAGGCTGAAGTGAAGTGTACTTCGTCTGTGAACCATACACATTGCCAGAAGTCGGTGATGGTTTTATTTAATGTTGAGGGGCATATTCTATCCGCGACTCTTTGTTTTTTATCAAGATTTCAGTCGTACATAGTTTGCAATATCGCCGAGCACCCGCTTTTGCGCAATGGCGTTATAATGTACGTGGTGCGAATTTCAATTGCAGTTCTTCGACTTGTTTTGTGTAGTCTTTTTCGTGGATTGGGTTGTCTTGAGTCGGTAATTGTGCTTAAAAAAGCCGAAGATACCGTAGGCTTTAAACCAGGTGCACAACCTACTCTTATTATTCTTCCGTGCGCTTGCTTTCCGAATAATTCACGTTGTTTGAGTCAGTAACGTGTGGTTCAGGCCGATGTGCAATTGAGGCCACAACGGTCTCCGATCGCTTTCCCGCATATGCATCAAAGAGTCGCATCTGTATAACAGCACCACGTTCAGCCCTTTTTTCGAGTAATAGGAAGCATTGAGGGTGCCATGTTGTAGTGTTTTGATACAATTAGTGTTGTGATGTTATTGATTTGTCCCCTCCGCAATGAGACTTGCCACCTAGTGTGTTATATCAACACTTTAACATAAGCTATGGATTATCCTTATGGAAATGCACCCAGTAGGAATTGTATCTATATGCATAGTGTTTACTAGGCCTATAATAGTTAATACAGCACAGATCAAGCCCAATCAACTATCCGGAGGTGTCAAATCCTTCCTCAACAACGGATAGGTAGCTATTGATCCCTAAATCTGAAGGCATTTCGTGTATCATGCCGTCTGGTCCGTATAGCGTTCTTAACCAGCCTCCAAATGGTTGATACCAAGGCAACTGTGTATCCCAAGTTAAATCTGGCATGTGAAAGAACATCTACACCAACAAACGCAACGTTGTAACTACAATTTTTCTGTTTCTTTTAACGTAAAACTAGAAAAGAAGTTTATACAACACAAAGAGTGTAGTATAGGTAACCTGCATCATATTTTAGAGACTCGAGGTAGTAGGTACCTAGACCGGTATCAATTCACTCATGCAAGGCTCAGCCTTTCGGAAAACGTAACCGAGGTCTTGCTTTCGTCAAATCTTGTCCCTTCCATAGCCGCATTCTAAAGTCCACCCAGTAGTGCATAGTCACGCTGCAGTACTTCTACCGCCACTTCAGGTTTATTCTATCTTAACAGCATTTGAATACTCAAGATGGCGTCAATTGCAAGAGCTTTAAGGCCAGCGGTACAGCGAGCAGCCTCAACCGCACGACCAGTAACTAGACCATTCAGACCGACGGGGATATATCACCAGTACGAAGTTTCATAGTTGATGTCCTAGATCAATGCTAACAGAAGCATAGTGCCCGGCCTCTATCATGCACAGCCAGACGAAGCGAAGCGATGGACCTCAGCGAGATCCCTCCCACGCCCATAACACATATGACCGACACCGAAGCCATGATGGCCGAGTCCGTCAATAAGTTCGCCAACGATGTGATTCTCCCAAAAGTCCGCGAGATGGACGAAAAAGAGATGATGGACCCATCTGTTGTTGAGCAGTTGTTTGAGCAGGGACTCATGGGCATCGAGATACCGGAGGAATACGGTGGTGCGGGCATGAACTTCACGGCGGCAATCGTAGGCATTGAGGAGTTGGCAAGGGTCGATCCGAGTGTTAGTGTAATGGTGGATGTGCATAATACGTTGGTGAATACGGCGGTGATAAGATACGCTACACCGGAACTGAAGAAGAAGTGGTTGCCCAAGTTGGCTACGGATACTGTTGGTAAGACTATCTAACCCCATGGTTTCGGTCTAGAAGATGCTGATAATTTAGGTTCTTTCTGCTTATCTGAGCCAGTTTCAGGATCTGATGCTTTTGCACTTGCAACCAAAGCTACCAAGACTGATTCGGGTTACACGATCAATGGAAGCAAGATGTGGATCACAAACTCAGTGGAGGCGAACTTCTTCATTGTCTTTGCGAACTTGGACCCAAGCAAGGGCTACAAGGGTATCTCAGCATTCATTCTTGAGAAGGGTATGAAGGGCTTCAATATCGCAAAGAAGGAGAAGAAGCTTGGTATAAAGGCTAGCAGCACGTGTGTTCTCACATTTGATGATGTTGAGATACCAAAGGGCAATCTTCTGGGAGAAGAAGGTCAGGGTTACAAATACGCCATTTCGTTGTTGAACGAGGGACGAATCGGTATTGCCGCTCAGATGACTGGTCTTGCGCTCGGAGCTTTCGAGAACGCTGTGAAGTAAGATGTGATCATAAATCACTTTGCCTTCCGCTAACAGTTGCCAGATACGTATGGAATGACCGCAAGCAGTTTGGACAGCTCGTCGGAGATTTCCAGGGTATGCAACACCAGATCGCACAATGTTATGTCGAGCTTACTGCCGCGAGAGCTCTTGTCTACACAGCAGCCCGGAAGAAGGAGGCTGGTGAGGACTTTGTCCGTGATGCTGCCATGGCTAAGCTATATGCCTCTCAGGTCGCCCAGAAGATCAGTGGACTGGGTATTGAGTGGATGGGTGGTATGGGATTTGTGAGAGAGGGTATCGCCGAGAAGATGTGGAGGGATAGCAAGATTGGTGCTATTTATGAGGGAACGAGCAATATCCAGCTGACGACGATTGCCAAATCGTTGAAGAGCCAGTATACTCAGTAAGAGTGCGAGTCAATGCAGGTTACAATTGAGTATATGCATATGTTTGGTGGAGTTCAGCGGCATACTTGATTCCTTGCTATGCAGACATATAAATTAGACGATTAATTCATATGTCATTGCAAATGAAAGGCCAAGTCAATTCTACGTTTACATCATCTTCACCTGCCTGGTAAGACAGTGATGAAGCCAAATCACCCGTGGTCTCTTGCTCCCCTTTTTCTCTCATATGATTGTGCGAACTTTCAGACATATAGTACTCGTCGGGCACAAGTTATATTATAAGCAGTAGGTTAAGTTGTGAGTATGATGCAAATGATTCTTGTGTGCTGCAGTCCTTTGGTACCTACCTGTATCTGTATCTGTGTCTTGTATCTTGACCCATGACTGTTGACGAAGTGAGGTTTGTGTAGCACGCACCGCATCCTGGCTGCAGGTAATTTAAGTTACTGTCTGTTGTTGTCGTTGTCGTACCATTGTAGAGCCATTCAGCCTTGGCGAAGGTTGGGCCCAACAAGATAGAATTTCCTGCAGATTCTGCGTTCCTTGTTGATAGAAGGCTGTTGCGTACCTCCTTCCAATTTCTCACGTGGCCCTCACTACACACTAAACACTCACTGCACACTACACACTACACACTGCACACTACACACTACACCACACTATCACCTTACGAAGCTCTCGTCGTTTGTCTCACATCACTGCAAGAACCTCCCTGGGGCTACTGGATTGAAAATCAATACTTTGTTGCCTCCGCCGTCATAATCTTCTTCCTCGCGACGAAGGCTTGGAGTAAACTCCTCGTGGCTGAGTCCATAACAGTACCAAAAGTAGCCCCGTACAGCTGCAAAACTTTAATACATACTACACGCATACCTGGAGGAGAGCATCCATCTCCCGTCCATACCTAGGTAGTCACTCACGTGTTGCTGCAGCCCATCACATACATCTGCTGCAGTGGAAACCACACAAAGGTGTCCACCGTACACCTAAAATACCTACAATATACTCGCCCAGGAGCTCCCATTTTCTGTGTGGTTAAATCACAACTCCTATTTCAACTAAGTGCCTTGTGTCAACACGGGCTCCCAACGGGCTGGGAGGTATACAGACAACCCCACTTCAGGAC